CTAATAATATTTACTTTTCATTCTTTTGTTTGTTCATTAATTTTAGTTCTGGAATATTGAAATTCAAAATTGAAACCTTTTTATTTAAACTATTTTTTCGTTTTTTTTCTGGAATTTTCCATGTATATTTTGCGGAATTTTTTACAAATACTTTCGAGAACTTTCCATAACAGATATTTTCTGGAATTTTCTGTAACGGATACTTTCCAAAGATATTTTCTGGAGCTTTCTATAGATGTTTTTTGTAATTTTCCATAATGGATGGTTTCTGAAATTGACCATAGTTGTTTTCAGGAATTTTCCGTAACGGATGTTTTCTGGAATTTTCCACCAGTGATATTTTCCGATTCATAATATTCATAAAAATAAAATTATGGCATTGATAAGATTTCTAACTTCGCAATTACAATCGAAATTTTCCTCAGCAATAGTTCACTGTTTCTTCCGGTTTTTGTAATTTCCAAAAACAAAAATTTTTGATATAAATATTGAATTCTTAGTTAACTAAACGAAAAAAGAAGAAAAAACACATTTCACGTTCAAATGAGATAATTTGCTAAATGTGACAGGTTCAGTTGTCATCGCCTGAGATGATGCACTACTCCCGAAGGATTCATCAGGAAATAGGATGCATTCGAGGATAATTATGAACTCAGTGATATTGATTAATTCGGCTTTCAGCCAGTTTCCTCCTTGTTCCATATAAAAGTTAAATTCACTTGAAATTGATTTCTCATTTGCCATTTGTTTTAATTTTTCTATAAAATTATGATAGTTACATATTACAAATAGTATCATGTGACACAAACTCATAAAAATATTTGTTAAAATATGTGAAATTCGTAATCGAGTAAGTGAATTAATGGATTTTATATGTAGTAATGTTTCATATACTATTGGTGTATGTATGCACTTCTTTGCAAGATTAACATTACGATACAGAAAGAGAACGTAACAATTGTCAACTTTTAATTTGAATTGGAATATAATACGAAATCCTTTTTGGTATACAAATAAAATGCTGAGAGCAATAGAGTTTCATTTAGATTCATTTCTTTACAAAATCTTCTTTCATGTAATTTATTTTCAAAATTTATTTTGAAACTTACAATTGTTAAGTAGAACATGATAATTAGTAATTGAAACAAAAACATCCCTTTGTAGTGCAAACAAATGGTATGCTTCAATCAGTGAAATGCAAAAATCCATATGATGATATTTTTAATTTATTAGCCTTAAAATATGCTATCCTAAAGCAAATTTGTGTAGGGAATTCAAATGAGCTTACAGCAATGAAGTAATTTATCTTATAAAATATTCTGATAAGAAATGGAACAAAAAATTCATTCAAATGAGCCATACAACTGTTTAATTTATTTATCATTTTTCAATACTATAATTTTATTTTATTTCTTTTTTTTTTTGTTCTTGTCTATTTATTAAAAATTTGTTATTGTAAA